ACGGGGCCCGCGGCCACAATCACGGCTGGCGGCGGCGGAGCGGGAGCCGGCTGCCGGCTGGCCCGGGCAATCAGTGCGGAGCCTGCCCGCCCGTCCCCCGCGCCGCCTGCCCCGGCCCCCCGCTTGGGGAGCGGGGGGCTAGCGCCGGGCGAAGATGGCTGGGGCCATCATCGAGAACATGAGCACCAAAAAGCTGTGCATTGTCGGGGGGATCCTGCTGGTTTTCCAAGTCATCGCCTTTCTGGTGGGAGGTCTGATCGGTGAGTGCTGAAGGTGCAAACTTTCTCTTCCTCCTCTCCTCGCTCGTGTTGTTTAGCTACTTGTTACAGTATCGCTGACTCGCTCCTATGATCTAATTAGCCCTGCCATTGTAGTTAAGAAAACACGGCTCCCTGGGCCTCTTTGTGCACATTTCACTCTAGTGCCTGCAAGAAAAGAAGGGGCAGAGAAAAGTTTTTTTGGCCTGGTTTCAGTCTGTACTTAAAGAAAGAGGAAGGGGGAAAATCTTCAGTATGGCGACTGATCGCGCAGGGAAGCCTTGCATTGCAAAGTTGGCTTTTTTAAACATATTTTTATTTTTTAAAAAATTCTTCCTCCACTCTTTTCCTACCTCTGCCCCTCCCCGTTTCTCGGCCTCCGGACCGACCGCAGGAGGAAACCAAAAAAAAAAAAAAAAAAAAAAAAAAAAAAAATTTTTTTTTTTTTGGAAGTAAAAAAATAACAACCTCGGTGTCCTTACTGGATGACATTTCTGCAAGCAGTTAAGATTAAATAAACGGCTGGGTTTTGTGTGAAATTGATTGTAACAAAGTTTATCAAAATAATCTAGGAGCTGAGTTCCCCCACACACAAGGATGTCATAGAGTTGGTATTTTTTTGGCTTGAAGGGATTATATCTTCATATCCTTTTTTGGTGGTTTTCTTCCCTTTTTCTTTTGTGCTGTATTTCTTTTAATGTAATGGGACAAGAATAAATTATATGTTCTCCTTGTGGTGGAAGAAAACAGTATCTGCCAGCATTATTTAGTCCATGAAATGTCTACGTAATAAAACCACTGACATACATACCACCCCCTGCTCCAAACTTCTTCTGCCAACAGGCAAATGAGATACTCATACATAGATCATGGGATAAGAAAATGGACTAGGAAATCGGGTCAGCCCGACTTCTCGCATGCAAATCTCCTCGCCTAAAACTTTTTAAGCCCAGATTGCGTTTCTTTCTTTATTAGCTGGCAGGGAGCGTTACAAAATCCTCGGGGAAGCGCCGGCATAGGATGTAACCTTTGGCAGCAAACTTGCAGTCGGGGTTTGCCATCCCTCTGCCTCCGGGGATTTTGATTTTTGCCTGGGGAAGGAGCTGGGGGATGGAAGGAGAAAGATGGAGGAGAGCAGGGTTTTGGGGCAGTCCCTGGAATTCTTTTTTTTTTTTTTTTTTTTTTTTTTTTTTTACTAGAAAGCAGCTGAGTTATGCGCCGGCTCCCTGTAATGATCCTCGTATGTATCTGACTACTTTGGCCATTTCCAGTGCTGAGATGTTCGGGAAGGGCTGGGCTGCCCTGCGGAGGAATTCCCGCCCCCAACCCTCCCCCTCGGGCGAGGGCTGGCTCCCCAGGGACTTGCTCCCCTTCCTCTGGTGCAGGCTCGTATGCGGGGCTGTTGGGATTTTCAGTAACGACTGTGGGTAGCTGAAGTCACGGTGCTCTGAAAGGGCAGCGGGAAAATTTGTCGCACTTTTTATTTGGGAGAATAAAGTTGGGCTGTTCTCGCGGTGGTCTTTATTTGAGAGATATTGAAGAAATACCTACAGCCATTCCTCAGACAGCAGATTCGGTGTTTCTAATGCACGTTAACGCTTCGCATTTGTAGCCTCTCTAATTATCTGTTCTTAAGAGCCATAGGAGTTCTACTAAACATAATTTTCAAAAACTTTCGTTTCCCTCATTCTCTTGCTTCAATTCCTCATCTTATTCACAAAGGAGGCGGTGGCAAACACTGGATTAAAACCCAGTTTTTCTAGTCCTGTGGGCCTGAACCAACGCTGAAGATTATTGGGATTGTCTTTTTTTTTTCCTTCCTTTTTTTTTTTTTTTTTCTTTAAGAGCTGGTTCAAGAGCAGGTTACTGAACCCGGTGCTGATTCATTAGATAAAAAGTCTTGGCCTGTGTTGTGCAGAGAAGCCAGACTTGGTGTTCATCTTAAAAGTGTTTTTCTAGTAGCTTCTTGCTTCTAAGTTTAAAAACATAAGTTGCTTGTACAAAAGGAAGGTGTCGATTGGAAAGCCCCGTTTCTGTTGTCATCTGGGGAGGAGTGTGATAAACAGATATGTTTATGTTTAGTTTCGCAGGGAATAAACACAAATGTTTTTGTTCAGATTGGTACGGATTGGGAGATGAAAGAATTTAGATGCTGTTAGTTCAGTCTTCCATCTTGCCTATTGCCTGCCTCACCGGCTGCTGCCGCCGAGCACCCACGGTGGGGGCCCCGTCCTGGGTGGGGGGGCCCCGTCCTGGGTGGGGGGCACAAGCTGATGCTGGGAAGCTGCAGGGGCAGGTCTGCTGGGCAGGGTCTGCTGGGGCCGAGCAGCTCTTCTGCCTACAGCGATTCGAGGGCGAGTCTCAACGTCTTGCACAAACTCAGAGTAACTTCGTACCCCTGGAGTAAGTGCATCTTCTATCTGCCGGGGAGTCCTAGGGGGTTATTGTGGGCAAACTTTCTTTAATTGCTGGAAAACCCCACTTCTGATCTTTTAGCAGATAAAACTGTACTCATCAATCACCCAAACTGGTTTTTCCTCTGCAGTATTTACCACTTCTGATGCATTCAAGGATTTAAGAGGCTCATTCCCCTCTTCAGTCCAGTGGCTGTGGGGCAGCTGTGCTGACGGGCTCCAGCAGCTCCCAGCCAGCCCTCCTAGGAGCTGGAAGCCTAAGTGTATATGGTGCCTGTGAAACAACTGTGAGTTCCTACGTGTCAGCTAGGTGTGGTCCCCAACACCTGGCACAGTGACACACAAGCAGGGCATCGCAGCCCGGGGGTCTGCATGCAGCTCTTCCCAGGAACTAGCTCTGGAGCATGCCTTGCAGTTGGTGCCCTGATGTCCCTGGAAGATCTGAGCTAGTGGCTTGCGACCGATCCCTTGGATCACAGCTGGGGCCTGCAGCTCGGGGTCCTTGACCCTTTATTTAGTCCCTAGCACGTGGCATTTTGGAGGAGGCATCTGATGAGAAATGGGTCGGCGGCCGGCATTCTTCTGCAGCATGCCTGGAGAGAGCGGGTGGGGAGCAAAGCAGTGCTATGAGTACTCACGCTGCCGATAGCTCTGGCAGCAATGACACGGGACTGCTGCTTTTCAGAGAGGTGTGACACAAGGTGGGATGGGAGCTGAGGTGTCACTGAAATAGCGTTCCTGGTCTGGTTTGATCCAGTGTACCAAACAGACACCAAGAATCTAGTTATTTTAGTTTATTCAGGTCTAGACAAACCAAAATATGTACACAACTGGAACACAGCTACAAAGCTAAACCAGCTTTTCCTTTAGCAGTCAGTTAGGTCATATTTCAAAACAATGACTAAGTGCTCTATTTTAACAGATTACTTGTGCAAGTCCAAAACACACAAATGCAACGCATTGGTACCTGATATGACAACGACAACAAAGCTTCATTTTTCTGAAATTGGGGTTTTCTGCCAGTGGTGGTTCTCTAGCTAGTTTTCGAACAGTCAACTGCATAATGTCTGAGTTTTAATACGGCTTGCACATTTCCAACAGCTCTTTTATTTAGAAGCAGGAGTCTTATCAGCTCTCACATGGATTTTGCTCAGAACTGAATGTTGGCAAAGCATGAGATATAAATGTATGGGAGTCATTCCCTTACCAGGGTGAAGCTCCTGTGGCAGTCTAAGGGAGCTTTGCAAAGCTAGGGAGTGAGAAAATGCCTCAAAAGAGAATTTTATTGAGCCGTTTCTTTGTTGTCATGCTATGGTAATGAACTGTTGGCTCCAGACTACTGGGACTGTCACTGCTTCAAACCCTCCTGTTTTCAAACCCTGCAGAATTTCTGGTGTCTGCTTCACTCCGTGGTAAACATCTTGTTTAAAGGTTATGCTTCTGGATTGTGTGTGTTATGTGTACAGTTAGGATGTATCAGTACTAGATAAAACATGATCCATAATTTAGTCATAATAAAACCCCATCTTCACTACCCCGCTGTAAGTGATAGCATACACGTATTATAGGAGAATGGGATAAAACAGGAATGGTTTCTGTTATCATTCAAGGCAGCATTAATGTTTGTGAGAAATTAGGCTAATGCTAATTTACAGTCATGCGGGCATTCCCAGGAGCTCTCGCATACTATGCATATGTATGCTCTCTGCCTTTTCAATATACGGTGTGGGTTTAGCCAGGTATCTGCCATCCTGGCTGTCTCCAGGGGTGCCACCAGGCTTGTACAGGCTTTGAGTTGTGCTAACCAGCCACAGTGGAGCCAGGTTAGCTGGTGACTGCCTTGGGCTCGGCCGGAGGACAAACCTTCCCACAGCTGGACCAGCTGCAGCATCCCTCTGGCCGTGCTTGTTACTGGGCGTTTTGACCAGGGCGTTCTGACGGAGGTCACACCACAACTGCTGCTCTAGGGCCAAAGGTGAGCCAGGACGCCGTCTGTCCTCTCCTTTGGACTGCTGGCCAGGTGGTAGAAATTTTGTGTGTATGGAAATCTGACTTGGCTCTAGTGTGGGTTCAATGCCTCTTTGTTTTCTTTAAACGAAACTTTTGATTACAAATTATCTTCCTCTGTATACCTTTTGGGAAGCTGTTGATGGTGTTCCTCTTTCTAATTTCCTTTGCATCCTGGAATTCTTTTATATATACGGTATTTTAAAAAGAAGAAAAAAAAAAAAAAAGAAAGAAAACGGACTTTACTGCTCAAATCTGTCCAGAGTTTGTGGAGAGAGCGGGAAATTTTGTGTTAATCGAGTCCCAAAGTATGGGGCACTTTTCGAAATGCTCCGTAGCTCTGCAGCTCCCACAGAGCACTGGAGAACGCTGAGCCTCCTGGGTGCTGCTGGCGCCCAGGCAGGGCTTCATGTGTCTCGGTGGGCTTTGTGCCGCTGCCTGACCACCACAAAAGCTGGGCAGATGTACAAACCTGCAGCCTCTGACTCTGGCATGCTTGCTAGCTTGTGCTCCCCTGAATGGTCTGGTCTGTTCTAACGACCCAGGGTCAAGAAATTACCCCACCTTCCCTGCGGCTTTCTC